ATGGTTCGAGATATATCCCCATACATATCCTCCACCTCCTCATCGGGATGTGCAGAGGTTGGTGCGTAAACCTATATGACCTTCAGCGAATACTGTTTGGTGATTCTGAGTATAAGGTACGCAGCCCTCGTCGACACACTCCCAATCTTTACAACGTTGTTAACGAGAGACTTGTGGACGATAAATCCGACACCTCCTTGGGACAGATGGTCGCCCTCCCGATGATAGAGCAAGTTGCCGGATTTGAGGATTACCGTGTCCTCCCCCGCTCTTCGGACCTCGGATAATCCTATAATATTCCAGCGCAACTTGTCTATGTCTTCTTCCAGCTCCACGATCTTCTCGTCAGTCCTCAGGGTGCGTGCGTTATAAGTTGCCAGGTCGAGTCGTCTTAGGTGGCAACCGAACCTCCACCGGAGATTCTTAGCACCCCCTGCCCCACCGTTACCATGGTCGCTACCGTAGCCAGGAATAGCGGGGCTGCCGGGGACTGGGGGTCGTCCTTTCGTAACCTTTTTCATGGGGGGGTATATTGCCATAGTTGCCACGCTTGGCGGGCGGGTTGGCAACCGCAGTTTTTTTTTATTGGGATATTGCTGTTATCCGGAAGATGGTGCTGCCCATCTCTTGCCTGTTTCCCACTGTAGTCTTTTACGACACCCACGGGAAGATATGGGGTAGTGGATATTCTTAACCGCCACTACACGGCACACCGCCACTACACGGCACATATTGTATTATATAAACGTAATGTATTTTATATTAATTATTAATGATTAAAAAGAGTCCCGCTGGGTTTCTTGCTAGTTCTTTTCAAGACAGATATTTTTTTCCGAAACAGTGATAAAAGACTTTCAATATAATAGGTATTCATGAAATTTATATTGAATAAAATTTATTTTATTACGCGTCCACTAAGCGGAACACATGAGGCCTCATCGAATCACACAAATACACAACATCGCCTCCTATACATTTTGTATGAAGCTGCGTCAAAGAGAGATGGTTAAAACACAGAAACTTATAATTTAGATTTCTTGAATCTCACTGTAAAAATTGGTAAATATTCCGGTGGTATAGATTAAATAATTCTTTACAGTAGATAGATGAGTTCGTGAGAATATAAAGTCTCAGACCATATATTACTGTATATACCGAGTGACGAAAAAGTTATCACATAAAATGAAAAGACGTATGCTACATAAATTTCTTTAAACATACACAACTAAAAAAATATATAACAATTAATAAATTAGTCGCGGTAGCATTTGTTTCCGTTCTAATATTAAATAACATCATGTAAATGCACACAGATATCACCTGATGATTTCTTATATTTACGCGAACACTACACATTTTTAAATATAACTAATTTTACGGATTTTATCGCGCATATTAACTTATTTTATTTATATTCCCGACGTTTCGGGTGCTTTCCAGCACCCGTGGTCACAGGGGACTGAGGTGTTTGACGTCCTGCTGTCCATGAAGTTATAAATAAAGATTCACCAACTTATAAGTTGGCTCAACACTTGACAAAAATACTGTCACCACTAAGAGGACATACCAGAGCACACACAAAGGATTCATACCATTTTGTTAGTGAGATAAAAGACCTACATCTCGCTGACAATGAAACTATGGTCAGTTTTGATGTTCAGTCACTATTCACATGCCTACCTATTGAAGACTGCATCTCAATGGTTACTAGAAAGCTAGAAGATAACAACATACCCACAGAATATGCAGTATTACTCAAACACCTCCTCACATCTGGCTATTTATTGTGGAAAGAAGAGTTCTATATGCAAGTAGACGGAGTGGCAATGGGCTCACCTGTATCTCCCGTAGTCGCCAACATATTCATGGAGGACTTTGAGGAGAAAGCCCTTCTTACTGCTCCTGTAAATCCAAGATTCTACAAGCAGTACGTAGCCGATACTTTCACAATTTTACCATCTGACAAAGTAACTGCATTTTTAAATCACCTTAATTCCATAAACCCTAAAATACAATTCACAATGGAGTTAGAAGCAATCAATACTTTAGCTTTCTTAGATGTTTTAGTCATCCGAAATCCTGATAACACTATTGGTCATACTGTGTACAGAAAAAATACCCATACCAACCGATATTTAAATGGTGAATCTCACCATCATCCTTCACAGTTAGCTACCGTGGGAAAATCTTTGTTTCAGAGAGCACGAGGGATCTGTGACAGAAAACATCTGGCCGCCGAGCTTCAGCACGTCGAGTAAGTACTGCAAGACAACAAGCTTCGGGCCCCGCGCCTACGTCACAGTGACCGAGTGAAGCCAGCCACAGTCAAGCGTGTGCCTGCTGTACTACCCTATGTCAGAGGAGTCACAGACAAGGTTGGCTACATCTTGAAGGGAGCTTCCATTAAAACATACTTCAAGCCGCTGAAGAAGATTGGTCAATTTTTACCATCCGTCAAGTGTCATATCCCTCTACAAGATGCAGGAGTGTACAAGCTGGATTGTGAATGTGGTCTCTCGTACATAGGACAAACAAAAAGATCTATTAAAACCCGTGTTAAAGAACATATAGATGACGTGAAGCACCGACGTATCGGGAAGTCTGCAGTTTGTGAACATGTTCAAGATCGTCCCCGCCATTACATTAGATTTGATAGACCACAAATCCTCGCAAAAGAACACCGATTCCTCCCAAGGATGATTCGCGAGGCTATTGAAATTAAAAAACATCCTAATTTCAATAGAGAAGATGGATGGGTGCTGCCATCTGCTTGGGATCCCATAATTAATAAAATCAAATCCAGACCCAAGCTAGACCACTACTAGACTTCAAGATATTGTAAGCTCATTCGTAAAATTAGTTTTATTTAAAAAAGATATCACCTGATGAATTCTAGAAGTTCAAAGACCTATGCCATTTGAAGGCGAAGATAGGTAGTTTAAACGTTGTCAATCCGAACTACTCGAATAAAGAAAAAATCAAACAAAACTGTACTTACGGCTAACAATTTAAGGCATAATTTTATGTGCGAAATTAAAAACAAAGGGACCACGCACTGAGGGTGTGTGGAAACAACTTCAAGCGAAAAATTTACTTAAAATAATGAAGTTAAGGCATAATTCTCTATGCGCGAAGTGACAAGAAATGGGACCGGGTGTCGAAATTATTATTTTCCTGGTGCGTGCGACGTTTTGTAAGTCACTTCAGGTCATTAACCTATATATTATCAAGGCTGATTTATTTCTTGTCAATTTTTTACGCTATTTATTTTGTTTGGAAAATGCATTTTTTATTTTCTTTTATTATTGTTTATTTTATTATTTTAACAGACATATATCAACTTGTATTAACTGCTGTGCTATTTAACGTGATAACCTATTCGCCACCCAGTATTCTAGAGACTCAGACCACCAAAGAAAATGCAATACGTACAATACGTACACATCTTTCTTTTTCTTTTTTTTAACAGACCGTCAAAGTCCATGCAATTAAAACGAAGTAGGTTTCAAAAAGTACTCTGTGGTTTCAAATTATTTTAGATGCTTATGAATGAGTGATTGCGTGTTCTTTTAATCCTGGGGCCACACTAAAAAGAAATGCCGTTAATTATCGCGTTGATGGACGTTGAATGTAGACGTGGCCATGACTTAACGCGTTAATTTGACAAAGCCATTAACAATGTCGTTTGCCGTTTGGCGATAACTCGACTCGAGTGGCGGTACATCAAAGAGATTAACGCACGAAAAAACGCGTTGAAGCGGCCACATTACGTTTGCCTTATTGTGCACGGTGAGCGCAACGGGATGCCACGTATGGCTATGATGGAGTGGAATAATGAAAAAGTTATTACGTTTCTTGAGATTCTGCAAACAGAGCGATGTTTGTGGGATGATAAAATATATTCATATAATAAAAATTTACACTCATCAAATATAGAGTAGCAGCGTCAACGTTCATCTTGCTTAAATTCAAGGTACATTAATGCCAACTTTAATGCTGTTCAATGACATTGAAATTGAAATGACGTTGACCGTTCAAGTGTAGCGTTAAAATGAAAGCAATAATTGTTGCGTTTACCGTTACTGTGGCCACAGCATAATAAGTTGAGAATAGTTTTGGTTTGATCTCAGTTTTACTTAAAATATACGTGGCGCTTCATATAACTATTATTTTTGTTGATCTGAAACTAAAGAAAAATTTTACTGCTTCCATTACTGCTCCTGTATCATTTGAAGTGGATTTAGATAGTTGCATAAAAGTGGTGCAGTTTTATGTATTATTTAATACCACTCTAAGTCTGCTATTTATTTAAACAGTATTGTACAAGTACTCTTATGGTGATGTACAAAAATATATAATCACTACGTTTTAGTAATGATGCCTTAATTTATTTTATATGCTTAGGCACCCTGACTCATAGACTATCTGCTAGCTTAAGCAGTCGTTAATATCTTCCGAAAACTTCGCAATATGCATCAACATATCTTCGCGTTAGATAAACAAGGTTCCAACTGCACATAAAGCGAAATATTTTTTTTGAGCTGACTAGCAAATACTTACGATGTTGGTTCTATCTGTAAAATTCTTTTAAAAAATATTAAATACCTGTCTAATAATAAATTACATTTTGTTTAATTCTTCACTTAGACACCTTCTATATCCAAGGCGACGATATCTTGTTTTACATTTATAAATTATTATTTAAAAAAAAATATTCTTGCACTGGCATACATATAGCGTACTATTGTGTCCAAAACCAAAGAATAAAATTGTTGTCATTGACAACTTGTTATAAATCCGTTTGTCTTAAGGCTGTATGGCTTAGTTCCTTTGCCTGCTGTCTCGAGCGAATAATAAAAACAACAACAATCCGTTTGTCTTTGTTTGTCTGTGGTCAACAGTTGTCAAGTGTCAACGAAAAATACAAAATTCATACAAATATTTTGATGATTTTACTTTCGTGATAAATTAGAATTAAATCTGTAAATTTATTGAAAAAAATGTCGGATAATGATGATGACTACATGTGTGAAGAAGAGGAAGACTATGGTTTGGTATGTATCTATTCTTATTTGAAATATCTTTTGTTATTAAAGTCGGTTTTGCCATCAAGTACTTATCAGTTAAAGAGTAAAGTAAAAATGTGTTGTCTTTAATTAGGAATTTATATATAGTTAAATACCAATTTATTATGTCACTGAAATAATATACGTAAGAATTTATAACCTAGTAATTCATAACCTAATGTTTATTATTTTTATCATTATTAGCAAAACATTTTTTTAATATTACATAATAATTTAACTTATATTATCCGAATTTATTCACTAACGTGTATTTTTATATGTCGTTTAATTTTGCCCATAATTTAATCTTTACTATATTTCCCTCCTGTGGTGACAACTTTTATTTAAAATTTTATACTTGAAATAATTTTCGTTCTAAAGTAAATTATTGCTACGTCAAATTTTTCATTACATTATTATTTTTTTCACTGTAGGAATATTCAGAAGATAGTAATTCCGAACCAGATGTTGATCTAGAAAACCAATATTACAACAGTAAAGCATTGAAAGAGGATGAACCACAGGCTGCTTTAGTAAGCTTCCAGAAGGTTCTAGAGCTAGAGGGTGGGGATAAGGGTGAATGGGGATTTAAGGCCCTTAAGCAAATGATAAAAATAAATTTTAAACTGGTAAGTTATATTTTTTCCAGATTTTCCTTTTATGAGTTCTTTGTAAATATTAATAGTACCAGTAATAGAGTGAAATTTATTAAGGTAAGACTTTCCATTGACGTCCGTCGAGTTTGGTGTTGATACATATTTTTACAGAAAGATTACATTTTTATAAGCACACACACAAAATTTCAATATGTGGAAACACATACTTTTTGAGAAAAAAATATTGATAATCAAATATTTTTGCAATATTTATGTCCATTTCTACCGTGAAACTTACGCCATTTTTTATTATTATTGTCAGTAGGTATGTCGATTCTTTCTAAAAAAGATCGCTTTTTTAAATAGATTCGAATTGTAAGCTGATGTATCGATTCCCAAAAAATAGATTTCTAAAATATCTATTTTTTTACATGTTTGCATTTATAATGTAAATATAAATCCATTTTATGAGAAAAAAATTCCCTTCATCATAAAAAAATAAGGGGACTGATTCAGAAGGATTTCTGTATCTATTTTGAGACTGCTACGTCTCCGGCGCTGCGGGAAGAGCAGCCTCTACGCCTTAGCGTAACAAATCGTAGGCACCGGACGCGCCGGAGCGGCTAAGGCTGGTCGCCGAAGATAATTTCAATAAGAGATCATTTATCATGGTATCTTTCTTGTTTTTCATAAAATGGGTTTATATTTACATTATAAATGCGAACATTAAAAAAATATAGATATTTTAGAAATCGATTTTTTGTGAACCGATACATCAGCTTACGATTTGAATCGATTTAAAAATCGACCTTTTTCGGAAAGAATCGACATCCCTATTGACGTCGACAATGACATTACAAAATGGCGCCAGTTTTACGGTAGAATTAGATATAAACATTGCAAGAATAATTGATTTTCAATAATTTTTTTCACAATAATTACGCGTTTCCGCATGTTGAAACTTTGTGTGTGTGCTTATAATAGTGTAACTTTTCTGTTAAAATACGTCGTCACGTAATCAACACCCAACTCGACGAACGTCAATGGAAAGCTAAGACTTTATTAAAGTTCAATATTCCACTTATTGCAATTTATATTACTTGTAAATAAGTTGGTAAAGTAAAACAGGGTGTCGCAGAATTCGACGTCAAGCTGGAAATGGGTGATAGGCCAAGTCATGATAGTTATCAGAAAAATAAAATAAAGACTAAGTTATTTATTTAAAAAAAAAATAGGCATTTTATCAAAATTGAGATAATCTACAGCATGTTGTGGTACACAGTTGGTGAATGCTCTCCTTATTCGTGTAGTCAATTACATGCCTGACAAATGTCAGCAGCTCATTAATAACAATATTGCAGTTCGAACACTTCACAATATCTGCACTCGCCATTTTGGACCTCTTTTTTAAAAGGGGTCGAATTGCACCGTGCACTATGCCAAGCAATGGATTAGGAATGTACCCTCACATTCCTAATCCAGTATTCATCACATTTAATTGTCTATGAAAATACAAGATGACTAACATGGCTAATGGATATACTAACTGCAACCATCATTTTCTATATCTTAAATGCAAAACAAAATAAAGAGTTATTGTTGGCATCATATTGGGTATTTTTTTATTTATGACTGCTTTTAATATTCTTAATTCTGAATTTTTTCTAGGGAAATTTCACTGAAATGATGGCTCGGTATAAACAACTACTTACTTATATCAAAAGTGCTGTCACTAGGAATCACTCTGAAAAATCTATTAACTCTATATTGGACTACATATCTACATCACGAAATGTAAGTCATAAATTAACAATTATTGGCTTTGGTTGTATTCTTTATTTTCTGCAGAAAAAGGAGACGGTACTCAATTCAACTGTGTTTTTTTTATGTGTGTTACCTCATTACTTTTTACTGGGTGATCCGATTTCGATGATTCTTTTTTTTATTTAAAAGCTGGTACTTCTCGTGTGGTCCCATATGAATTTGATCAAGGTCAGACCAATAGTTTTTGAGTTATTCTTAATAACTTATATTGTAGTCGGCTGTACAAAATTTTAAATTTTAAATTATTATTGCACAATTACCTTTCTTAAAATTTTTTGTAAATGCCTGCAAATCATATATAATAACTAGCTGGCTAGGCAGACGTTCTGTATCCTATAAAAAAATCCTTAAATTTGCAATAAAAAATAATGAGGGTCAATTATCGGGATAAAATATAGTATAAGTGATAGAGCCATGCTGCAGCTATATTTCTGGTATAGTTGTAACACGAATGGGTCGGCTCGACTGGGGAAGGACCACGCTCTCACAGAATACCAGCGTAAAATAGCAGCTTAATGCTGCTGTGTTTCGTATGGTGAGTGTAGAGAACCGGAAATCCTTTTTACTGGAAACGAGGCATTCCATCTTAGTCCTCACGGGTGACAACGCATCTGCATTTTGATTCGTAATCGAGGATAAATGTAAATGTCTATGGGCCACGGCAACTACTTACCATCAGGTGGACTGTGTGCTCGTTTGTCACCCTATCCTATAAAAAAAATTCAAGTGACGTAAAAGCCGAGCCAAATTACCAACCATACTCAACTAATTGAAAGGACAGGCACTCACATACTCATATGGATCTAAAATCATTTGCAACCAACAACATTGCATTCTTATTTGTTTGCTTTTGTAGAGAACTATGTCGGGCAGTGGATTTAAAGATTGATATTGACATCAAGTTTATTCTTCTTCATCTTTATTGGCATGTAAAAGTACATTGAGGGACATGCGCTCTCCTGTAAATGAGGTTTTGGATAAATCGGCGGATTGACAGACTTGCGCATCGTAGAGTCATGCTGCAGCTATATTATGGTTCTAGTACAAATGGGTCGGCTCGAACGGTGTAGGACCACACTCACAGAATGCCAGCATAAAATAGCAGCTTGATGCTACGGTATTTCGAATGGTGAGTCTAGAGAACTGGAGACCCTTTTTACTGAATACGGGGCATTCCATTTAGTCCTCAGAGGTGACAACGCATCTACATTTTGATTCGAAATCGAGGATAGATATTTGTACTTGGTAGAGCCATGCTGCAGCTATATTAATTGTATAGTTGTAGCACGAATGGGTCAGCTCGACTGGGGAAGGACCACGCTGTCACAGAATACCAGTGTAAAATAGCAGCTTAATGCTGCTGTTTTTCGTAGTGTGAGTGTAGAGAACCGGACACCCTTTTTACTTGACAACGCATCTGCGTTTTGACTCGCAAATAACCACTTACGTTGCTGATAATCCCTCCGGACTTATTTTATCAATGTAAATTTCATTGTCTTGATGTTTCAGTGTTCTGAGATGGTACTTAATGTTTTCGTTAATCTTCACAAGTCAATAATGGTTCTTCACATCTTAATTTGGTCAACATGTTTAAATAACATTTGACATATTGAATTATTTCAGATGGAATTACTCCAAGATTTCTATGAAACAACATTAGAAGCCTTAAAAGATGCAAAAAATGACAGGCTGTGGTTCAAGACAAACACAAAGCTAGGTAAATTATACTATGACCGTGGTGATTTCAACAAACTAGCCAAGATCCTGAAGCAGTTGCATCAGAGTTGTCAGGTATGGCCACTATGGACAATTTTTAAGTATTTAGAAGAATCTAAAATTTGAAACGGATTATTTGAGAATTTAATAAAATAATCCTAAGACATTTTTGATATAACTTTTTATAGTTTGCAAATTGAAGTAACTATAGGCTAATCACTTCTCTAGCAGAAGTGGCCAACCCGCACTAACAAAACAACAACTGGTAGCATAAAGCTGATCACAAGCCTGATAAACACTTTTTAGTAGAGGTTCAGCTATTGATTGCTGCAGACTGTTAACAATGTTAATATTATTGTAGACGGATGACGGCGAGGATGACCTAAAGAAAGGCACACAACTGCTGGAGATCTATGCCCTGGAGATCCAGATGTACACGGCGCAGAAGAATAACAAGAAACTTAAGGCTTTGTACGAACAGTCACTGCACATAAAATCTGCAATTCCGCATCCACTCATCATGGGTGTTATAAGAGGTTAGCAAAGGGATAGCTTATAAACGAGCCTTAATTGGTCTTTTTGTTTTCCTTACACACAACTGCACTGGATAAATTTTAACAAGTGCTTACACGGTGATTCTTGTAAGATTCATCTCAGTCACAAGGCAGATGGACGATTGTAGTGTCTGTTTCGTACATTTGACGCTGCTGCCCGTAACTGGTTTTGATATTCTACATGTGACATTAACAAAATGGTTATATTGCCATCGGAATCGACACCCACGGGATTAAAAAGAATGAAGGAATCTCTTACACTGCTTCCATATGTCTTACTGAGTAGGTACTGGATTGGAAAATAATCACAAATGTTTGCACCATGTGTGTTGCCCAAATCACATATCTTTTGAAAAAATTATATTTGCAGGTTGATGTTTTGCTTTATTTGAAATAACAACCAAGCAAAAGCTGGGCTGTGTATAAGAATAACCACTACCCCATATCATCCCGTGGGTGTAATAAGAGACAACAGAGGGAAACAAACCAGAAGAAAGGCAGCAGAATGAATCTTCCTAATCATTATCATCATCTCTACAGCCCATCACAAGTCCACAGCTGAACATAGTCCTCCCCCCAAAAAATCCATCGATACATCCATCGACTTCCTGCATGTCTTACCAGGTCGTCACTCCATCTAGTGCGGCGACGCCCTTCACTTCGTCCGCCGGTACGAGGCCGCCACTCGAGAACCTTTATAAATATAAATCTTCCTAATAACAACTAAAAATAAAAGACTGGTTGCCAACCCGCTTGCCAAGCGTGGCAACTGGAAAATATCTCGTATATGACGCAATCTATGCAGGAGGCCTATGTTCAGCAGAGGACTTTCATAGGCTGTAACGGTATTTAAAATAATGTCGTGTTCCTATTTGTTAATTATAAAATTTAATAGAGCATGAGTAGATCGCTCTGCAAAATCCCTAATATTTAGCTAAGTTAATGCAGCTCAATTATTAAAATAATATTCTTTTACTATATTTGACCACAATGTGATAAGATGAGAATAAGTGCTATTTACATTATTAGACCAACAAAGAAAGATGGACCCCTGCATACATTTCCAGTGACGCCGAAACCTAGCTTACCTTCTCGACACGTTCTACACACATTTACATGCTTTTTTTTCTTTCTTACTTTAAAGCCCGAAGCACATATATTATGTTATGTACCTTAAACCATGTTGTTGGTTGCAAATGATTTTAGATCCATATGAGTATGTGAGTGCCTGTCCTTTCAATTAGTTGAGTATGGTTGGTAATTTGGCTCGGCTTTTACGTCATTTGAATTTTTTTTTATATAGGATAGGGTGACAAACGAGCACACAGTCCACCTGATGGTAAGTGGTTGCTGTGGCCCATAGACATCTACATTTATCCTCATTTGTGAATCAAAATGCAGATGCGTTGTCACCCGTGAGGACTAAGATGGAATGCCTCGTTTCCAGTAAAAAGGGTTTCCGGTTCTCTACACTCACCATACGAAACACAGCAGTGTTAAGCTGCTGTTTTACGCTGGTATTCTGTGAGAGCATGCATCCCTGCATCCATCCTTCCCTGATCGAGCCAACCCATTCATGCTACAACTATACTACTAATATAGCTGCAGCATGACTCTACCACGTAAAAAAATGTACGCAAGGCTCCGTCTATGTTTCTTTGTTACGTAATATTTATTATTACGTTTCTTCTTTTATTTTACGAGCATCTTTTATTAAATATATATTTTAAAAACCCCTTTTATCATAAATTTTTCTTAGTTTCATTTGTTGATCTATGTGAGGGTACAGCAAAGTGTTTATATAATATAAAGTATAAGAAAAAAAATGTTTCGTTTGCAATTGAAAGAATATATATGTTTAGAGTGCGGCGGTAAAATGCACCTGCGCGAGGGCGAGTTCGAGAAAGCGCACACAGACTTCTTCGAGGCGTTCAAAAATTACGACGAGTCTGGCAGTCCGAGGAGGACCACTTGCCTTAAGTACCTCGTACTGGCTAACATGTAAGTTCTTTGATCCACGATCACATTCGCTCAACTAAATTTTTATTAAATTCTCACATTCAATTTCTTACCTTTCTTACTTTGAGTCAAGTTGGTTTTAAGTAATTGGGCTATAAGACGGTTACAATAGCTATGCTTGTAAATTGATATACCGAAAAATGGTCAACAATGTTTACTACACCAAAAACTACCGAAGGGGGAGATGCAACAGTTCTGTCATTGTGATCATCACTCAGTTTACCTTCCCTTTAATACACCGTATTATATTGATATGTAAAAAAAATGCTATTAAGGGACGAAAGGGCGCAGTCAGTAAGATTACTTATTTCCTTGGTGACAAGCGAGCACACAGTCCACCTGATAGTAAGTGGATGATTGTGAGTCTAAAAGCAGAGCGTTGTCAGCCGTAAATACTAAGATGGAATGCCTCTTACTGAAAGTAAAAAGGGTCTCCAGTTCCCGACACTGACCATACAAAATACAGCAGTATTACGCTGGTATTTTACGCTAGTTTATTCCTTATTACTAAAAATAATACATTTTAATTTTAGGCTAATGAAATCCGGCATCAATCCCTTCGACTCGCAAGAAGCTAAACCGTACAAGAACGACCCAGAGATCCTCGCCATGACGAACTTAGTGATGGCGTACCAGAACAACGACATCAACGACTTCGAGTCCATCCTCAAGCACAACAGGAACAACATCATGGATGACCCTTTCATCAGGGAACACATCGAGGACCTGCTAAGAAACATCAGAACACAAGTGCTGATCAAGTTGATTGGACCATATACGAGGATTCACATACCATTTATATCCAAGGAGCTTAACATTGATGAGAAGGAGGTGGAAAATCTTCTCGTTACGTGTATTTTGGACAAGTAAGTGTTATTAATTTAGACATGTGAATCCAAAACCCAGACCCCATATCGACTCTCACTCGACTTGAGTAAATCTTGAGAGAGGTGAGAAAGAAAATATGGAAAAACTTATAGCTTCAAATAGCAGGTAAATGTTTTATACAGGGTTATTATTAAAGAGTATCCAAATTTTATATTTAAGTTCAAATATGTAAATAATGATATACCGTTATTGCAGTCTTCGAAAATACGAGTAAATAAGGCTTCTACTTTTATTTGAAATGATCCCAAATTGAATCTAATTCATGGGCAACAACTACGCGTCCGTGCAATCCTCTGTGTGCAATTCAATTCACAACGTTTTTGCCGACCGAATTGTACCTTGTGAATGTGTACGTGCGTAGTAAAATAGTAGGCGTTAGATATTTATGAACGACAATCAGTTAAAATAATGCATTACCACGCATTATAAATTTACTAGAAAGGACAGTGTGTGTGAGATTTTTTTAATTAATTTTTCTTCACCATTTGCCTATATTACTTATTCTAAACCATTTCTGCAAATTTGGGCTTATATTGCAAAATAACACTGATATGCCAGATATGTCAGATGTTAAACACTGAGGGGCTAAGCACTCGCAGTGAATTTTGCAGTACACTAGCAACTCGGGCTCGTTAGTATGCTCAATTTGTTTGCCTAGTGTAATAGAGGATTACCTTAATCAAAGGTAATCGTCCATTATAGTAGGCGTTCTTTTTACGTGATGGGACCTGTAACAGTCCTGGTCCGGAATTGGCGGTGTTTTATCTCTGTGACTCTAAAGCACGTAAAGCCGTTGGTCCTGCGCCTAATCTCTCTCCGGCCGTGTCCGGATTACCGTCCCATTGGATAATGAGAGTAAGGGAATAGAGAGTGTATTTGTCCTTGCACATACACTCTAGCACGATAAACCTGTCCAACTGTGTTTGTGTCAACATGGCTCTATCGCGTATAGATGCAGCGTAAAGATATCCCAGTATTATATTAGTACTATAGTTGTAACACGAATGGGTCGGCTCGACCGGGGAAGGACCACGTTCTCACAGAATACCAGCGTAAAATAGCAGCTTAATACTGCTGTGTTTCGTATGGTGAGTGTAGAGAACTGGAGACCCTTTTTACTGTAAAAGAAGCATCCCATCTTAGTCTTTACGACTGACAACGCATCTGCGTTTTGACTCGCAAACAACCACTTACCATAAGGTGGACTGTGTGCTCGCTTGTCACCCTTATCATATAAAAAAATAGATGTAAATGTTTATGAATCGCAGCAACCACTTACCGTCATGTGGACTCTGTACTCTCTTATCCTATATAAAAAAGATACATATTAATACATAAATATGAATGTGATGCATTTGGTGTGCGCAGTACTATCAGCGGGCGTATCGACCAGGTGAACGCGGTGCTGGAGTTGGCGAGCGGCGCGCGCGGGGCCGCCCGCTACTCCGCGCTCGACAAGTGGACCGCGCAGCTCGCCGCGCTGCACCACGCGCTCGCCAACAAGATGGCCTGAACACTACCCCTCCCCCTCCACTCCCCGCCACTCCCCCGCCACACCTGCCCTCTTCTCCTAAACGACCGCTCCATCCACACACACACATTAAGGCAACAGTATCTTCCATACTACATAGCATTCGTCTTTGTTATAGGATGAATTGAGTGAAACTTGAACGATTCACATGAAACATTAAACTCAACAATTTAATGTGTAAAAGTTTATGAAGCATTTTAATCATAACATAAAATGCGTAATATACTTTATTTATTGCGTTACGTGTTGAAAAGAATTATGAAAACAATTAATTGCAAAGGTGCAATCATACTCATTCTATAAATAAACAATAGTAGATATGACTCTATTCATGGTATTGGAATGAATGATTGCTTTTAAAACTGTGCTTTAAGTTAAGTGTATATTTCTGGAACAGTAATAATGTTTATTTATTTTAAAACAAGTTTAGGTAAAATAGGAAATTACTTATATCAATAAAAGTTGTCAAACGTATTGAAGATACACATTCTTAACCAACACTAAATATATTACATCCATACGGGGCCTGGGACGGGGGATTGAATACATAACGGTAAACAATATCAAAATGTGATGAAATTGCTATGAAAGCATAAGCATATTTATAAAAAAGGCAATCTTGTAAAATATTCCCAAAGCTAAACATTAATTGCCATTGTAACAGACATTTTTACGGTTGTAAATTTTGATATGGAATAAAAATAAAAATTGCTTATTCTAGCGTGTCACCAGCGCAAACGAAATTTTAAAACAAAACATGTTTTTATTTCCCATTAACGGCGTCTGAATACTTCGAAGCGAAAAAAAGCTTTAGACTGTAATTAGTGTTGTGTAATTAAAGTGTCAATTTTGGTAATTCAATCGGCAGTTTTGATCCCACTTCTGACACCAATTGTTACGGGCTTGGGCTTCGAGACAATTAAAAACTGCCGATTGAACTACCATAATTGACACTTTAATTACACAACATTAATTGCAATCTAAAACCACACAATTATAAAACACAATTTTCACTTTGGTTCGCAATTATTTCGCTTCGAAGTATTCTCTTGTATCGCCAATTCAATACTGCCCCGGTCGTGGTCTATACCGACCTTATATAGGGCCTTAGATAATTTCCAGAACCTTCTACTGTAGCGACGTCTAGAATGTTCGAGTACATATCGGTCCCGAAATTTCTGGAAGGATCTCGACTCTCCTAGTTCTGCTACTCGACACTAGAGGGCGCTAGTGTAACTAGTGTTGCCATGTACAAGACATTAATAGTGGCGCGCTACAATACTTATAGTCCATAAAAATATTAATGAGGAAACCAGCCAGAAATTACATTCCTATCATTATGAACTGGTCGCTTGTCAATAATATTTTACTCTTAACTTACTGAACTGATATATTTTCAAACGAGTGTACTTTCACGGCGTGCACAGTCCGCGTAACGCTGCGACGCTCGTTATTAGTATGAAAGAAGGGATCACCGTGATCTCGCTCGCGGACTTGGGCTCAGATCAAGCGCCGCGTGTAGCGGGCAACCCAAATGATGTAACGGTGCTCTATAATTTTTTACAAACACGCTCATTGGTTTCCGCTATATGCAGCGGACATCCGAAAAGCTTCCTCAGCATATAGTTATATCTTATTTCGATTTAACTTAAACACGATGTACATAGATCGTAAGTGTTTATAGAAACCTCCCCTTGTAAAAATCTGTCTGGAGTAAATCGAAATACAATGCGTATTAAAGTACCCTACATGGTTTCAATTTGCACCAATCCCTATCCCATAAATTACATTTCTGTAATCGATATTTTATAAACATTTTTCCGGTTTATATTCAAGATAATGGTTTGAACTGTTAAAGCTGGACCTTTCTGGTAGAACCCGTAGTCAAAGTTGGTAAGAAATTACTTCACGTATATCCGCTCGATAAAATAAAATGATGTCTTACCTAGTTTGAAGAGCACCTCCCGCCCTCCCTCAATTGCGTGCACTATCACCGTCACCACTAATACCGACCGTTAGCGGTCAGCCACCGCAGAGTCTAGATCACCTGAAGATGCCTCGTGTAGAGAGGCGAAACACGTGTCGTATTGTCGTCAGTGGTATGTTTTTCCTAATGTAGTGGTGTTGGGAGTAGTGGTGCTGGTATTGGTGGTGACGGGGATAGTGCACCCAATTGAGGGAGGGCGGGAGGTGCTCTTCAAACTAGGTAAGACACATCATTTTATTTTATCGAGTGGATGTACGTGAAGTAATTTTTTACCAACTTTAATATAATGAACTTCCGCAAAGTAACGCCTGATTCTATTAAGAATCCGTAGTCGTTTATTAAAATTTGACAATGCAATTAATGAACGGCTCCATGGCGCAGTGGCTTATCATTGACTTACGGCGCCGAGGGCCGCGGGTTAGAATCGCGCACGAAACAAGCAAGTATGGCCTACAAATTAATGTTTGTCCATGTGTAAACTGCCACCACGATACGGAAGAAAATCCTAGTACGGAGGTAAGGTTTTTTTCAAAAAATGAATGAAGCTATCTTCAATTACATTACGTGTAGTAACTAGTAACGTTTATCGTCATCCATACATCCATACAAATAAATAAAATTGAAGTGTCTGTGTGTAGTGTCTAAATTACAGCTTTTTACTAAATACACATGAAAATAAATACGGTTCTTATAACTAAAATACAATTTTTAAAATTTTTGTCTGTCTGTCTGTTTGTTCCGGCTAATCTCCGAAACGGCTGGACCGATTTAGACGGGACTTTCACTGGCAGATAGCTGATGGCATAAGTGTAAAACAGTTTAAATATCTTGGCCACATAATTAATGAGAATTTGTGTGATCACCTAGATATAGAAAGAGAGCGCAGGGCATTGTCTGTGCGTGTAAACGTAGTGGTTATATTCTCTTTGTGTGCTTGGTAATATGTTGGTTCATAGAATTGCTCGTTGCACAGCACCAGTCAAAATTACTTTATTCAAAGCCTACTGCCAATCGTTTTACACGAGCAGTCTTTGGACCAATTTCACCCAAAAAGCGTACAATGTCCTGCGAGTTCAATATAATAATATGTTCAGGGCCTTGTTGGGGCTCCCTCGCTATTGCAATGCATCAAGTATGTTTGCTGTTGCAAAAACGGAAGATTTTTACGCAATTATGAGGAAAAAAGTGGAAACTCTTATACGACGCGTGCGAGGGAGCCCGAACAGAGTCCTACAGATGATTAGCAACAGAGTGGATTCTAACCTGCTTGCAAGGTTTATTGAACTACATGTTTTATGAATTCTATAAGCCGACAAAACAGAGGTGTAGACTCTATTAAGTTTTGCATAGATTTCGTTCAGTTTTTACTAACCTAGCATCTAAGAAAAATTATACCAATTTTAACATACAACTGAAAATAAATGATTAATAATAATAAGGAGTAACTTAGGCTACTTTTATTTTAGAAAAAAAATTAGGCTTCCCGTGCAAAAAAATAAAAACCCTAACATGCGAGCGAAGTCGCGGGGAACAGCTAGTATATTAAAAGATATGTACATAAGTAAATATTTAATAAAGTCTACACGAAAAACTATACATACTTCAATGATATATTCACTAGGTGGTAGAATTACTTTTATGTCTAGGAATCCGTATGGGTAGGTCACCCTCTTACATATTTCTGTCGCCAAATTATAGTGCTTACACTGCTGAGTTCCGATCTGAAGGATATAGAGAGCCAGTATAATCACAGGCTGTGAAACATTCCATCTTATCCCTTAGTGGTGACCACACGTCTGTAGTCTTCTTTGTTTGAAGTGAGCTGCAGGAGTCCATAGACTGCAGTAGCCATTTACCGTAAGGTGGACTGGACTGTGTGATTTCGTTTATCTTCAGTTTTATAAATGAATTTTATATAATACTAGTTGTCATTTTTTTATGAATATTACAATATTCTCACACAATGTGATAAAAATAAGAATACCTGTGATATAAACCGAAAGTATCATTATGAGAAAGCGGAATGCTGAATAAGAAGTCAGGGATTACAAGATAATATTGAGCTTTATTCATTTTAAATTGCACCAGGGCACTTTTATAATTAATGATTAATTTCAAATTAATTATCCGTGAGCGTCTAGGATAAACTAGCTTGTTACAACCAGTGCACCACAAACTATATAGCAGTGCACTAAGTCACGCCAGAGCTAAGTTTTATATCTGTTATAAAACAAGTCGAGTAGTGGGGCGGCGGGGGTTATCGAGTGGCGCGCCCGGTGGCGAGATCGGTACACGTGTTGTTTACAATTTTTGCTGTACCAGTGTACGACGACGCTGCCGTCATGCCGTCACATACAAAACGCGTTTACTAAGTCAGCAAAACAAAATCGATTAATTGCAAATAATGTAATAACGTATTCTTTCTTATTTGAAGTTGGTTGCTGATGTAAACTGGACTGTAAGTTTGTTTATCACTAGACTACTAATATATAAACTAGAGATCTTCAACTAGCCACAGTCGTTTGACAGATAAGAGTTATATCACGTGAAAGAATCGAAAATGACCATTGGCAATGGGATGAACACTAAGTTTTCAGGTTACTTTACAGTCAATGGTACATAGTTTATTTTTATGTAAAAAATCTGCAGTCAATGACCATATTAATAACTATGATGGTGCGAATGACTACCCTGAGAATGATGCAGGAAGCTGAGGAATCGTAGTGATGAATTTAGACCTAGCTCATTGTTTTGTAAATATAGATGTTCCATCTTAGTCCTCAGAGGCAACAACGTATTTTTTCTTGTTTAAAGTTGGCTGCTAATGTCCATTGGACTGTAAGTTTGTTTATCACTTGTTATTTTTTTTAAACATTTTTATCAAAAATGTGTTTTGTTTAGTCTACCCAACTGGTTGATATTTATCAAATAGCAGAACAGTAATGTTACAGAAACATTACTACTTTTACGTGGTAGAGCCATGTTGCAGCTATAT